ATGATTCTAAGGAGCCTGATAAAGGTTACCAAGGCTCAGCTGAGGTGGTTCCTAGACCCTGGGAGCTCCCAGGAGAACTCACCAGAGCAGGGGGCCTGGAAGTTGTGCTCGGAGAGTCTGGGCACTCCCAAAGAGTGGTAGGAAGCCCAGCCTGCCAGGAATCAACTAGACCCCTCAGAAGGGGCACTGTTCCCTAGGTAACGCCCCGTATTAACTTATTAGTGGTGCTAGAGGAAACGGAGGCAGGGAGTACCTACAGCACAACATTTGGCCGGCAGAGTTACTGTCGGGCAGAGACACCCTGTGACAGGCAGGTTCTTATTTTGCACAAGTTGGGAGCTAGCTTCATGCCGCAGTTATACAGATTTGCTGAGAAGTCTGTAAGTGTTACAGCAAGCTAAATGGGAGTTCTCTTACTGTTCTTCAGTTTTGCCAACCCTCAGGATTCAAACGTCGGGCCCCCAAAATCATGAGATTGCCTTAGAACTCCTGAGATTTTAAAAAAGACATTGTGGGTTCTTTTATTTGCCTTTGCTTTTTGAGCCGGTAGGGGTCACATCTTCAAGCTTTTCTCCAAACATGAGGGCTAGTTGTTTACTACTCCTTTATTTAAAGTGAAAGCCGAGATTCTCACAGAATCACATGACTCCAGGTTTAACAAAAACACCAACAATCATGATACTCTCAGTAAAATCATGAGTTGTCAACACGGATGCCTTGTTTAGGAACAGAGGATGGCAGAGATTTTAAACACTCCATCACATTCACAAACTATCAGATTTCCATTCGGATTAGACCGTTATTTTTGCTGAGAGAAGTCTGTGTAATTTTTGATTAAAAAAAATTAAAATGTCTGCAAAACTGTAATAAACTTCATTCCAAGTGTCTGCTATCTGCGTGTCCTCCAGGAACAGCGATGGAATGCTGGTCCCTATGGGCTGCTTCTGCCAATCCTTCTAGCTGATGTCAGCAGTTCTATTGTATTGCATAGGCTGCCTGTTAGAAAGTGATAAATGCTCGTCAGTTATCTATTTTTCCCAGACACACAGCACTACAATATTTATACTGTATAGACTCCTTCCAGGTTTGTCCTACAGCTAACATAACACAGGTCATTTTCAGAAGATACCTATCTTCAGAGATGCCAAGTTCCCTACTTATAATACTAGGGAGATTTCCACCAGGCCCCATGTTCACATTTAATTGAGCTGTTGGATTTGAGTACCAATTTTTTTTTTTTTTTTGTCAGTTTTGCAAACACACTGTTTAATTCTGTGTTTCTTCATGGCTAGCTAATGTCGAATGAAGATTGCGCTCACCCTCAGTGTAGGGGATCTACCCAAAGCCTGCAGTGTTATCAACCCTTGTGATATTGTCATGCAGTCGCAGTGTTTCAGGTTGGGGCTGATTTCTCTGGAAGCCTCAAATTGAAACACGGTGATTGCATGAGGTTAGGCTGCTGGCCTAGCTCAACACCCAACGTGGAGTACTAGTGGGCTGCTTTTCATCTGCTCTCTACCCTTTGGGCTCTGGTGGCGCTACCAGAGTCTTTGCTTTGCCACCCCATGCCAGGAAAGGGTGGGGAGAGTGAGGAAGCGAGCGAAAGTATGCCCCAGATTCTGACCCCTTTAGTCACACCGAGGAGGAGTTCACTCTGTAAGTAGCCCTACTGATGACATTAGTACCACTCACAAGAGCAAGGGGATTGAGATTGGGCCCTAAGAAAGCAAAATGTTTGCTTTGACATTCTGTGCTCAATGAACTCGTAGAGAACGCTGCAAACCCCATGTCCAGATCACTTGTTCATATCAGTGGCAGCTCAACACAGAGGGCTTGCAGGAGTCAGGACTGAGGGCACGGTTGAACAGATGCCAATATCTAAAGATTTCAGAGTAGCAGCCGTGTTAGTCTATATCCGCAAAAAGAACAGGAGTACTTGTTGCACCTTAGAGACTAACAAATTTAATAAATTTGTTAGTCTCTAAGGTGCCACAAGTACTCCTGTTCTTTTTGCTAATATCTAAAGAGTTTCTAAAAAGAAGGTTGAAACATTCCTGTGCTAGATATCTGTGTTCTATTAGTTCTATCTCTGGTAATGATCTACTAGATCACTAAGCCCCTAATTCAGCAGTCCATTCCTATTCAGAAAATCCCCTGGACTTCATTAAGACTTAAGCACATGCTTTGCTGAATGGGGATGGACATAAGAACAGATGGGCCTAGGAGCTGGCTTGAGGAAAAAGTATGTAATAATTCAGTGCTGCGGTAACTTCCAAAAGCTTATGGAAACCCAGAAAATTGTGCAACACAGTGAATGGACAGGATTTTTATTAAAATGCTCTTGAACTGTAGTATTCTATGTAGCTATTGTCTTTGTGGTCTAATGATTCAAGGCTATCAGAGAAGAAATATGGTGTAGGGTGACCAGATGTCCCGATTTGATAGGGACAATCCCCATTTTTGGGTCTTTTTCTTATATAGGCTCCTATTACCCCCCACTCCTGTCCCAATTTTTCACATTTGCCATCTGGTCACCCTAATATGGTGAAGCCTAAAATATTTCACATTTTTATCAAGCCCCTGGCTATGGCATTCGCAAGGTTTAATCTTTTTCACTGCATATGGCAATTTGAATAAGCAGTCCCTCCTCTTTTGATCAGCATGAGAGAGAAGCTTTTAAAACAAGACTAAATAACAAATTTTTAACAAGATGAACACACACACAGAGTTATAGGGTTTTACACATTTTTTACATTTGACCTATTTTTGAAAATCCTGCACCAGTCTGGTCCCCTAGTGCTACTTACAGCAGCCTCATGGCTGCCCTAAGTCAGTGACTCTTAAAGCGTTTACCTTCAGGCCCTGCCTTTACCAAAGCACTTGAGCTAAAGCTCCATTTTCCTATTTGCCAGAGACAATATTCATACATAGATGTGTGTGTATGTGTTTAATACCAACTACTAGTGAACCCGAGAATGCTGAAGTATATACAATTACATAAACAAGCAAAGAAAAAACTATTATAAGACAATAAAGTTTGCAAAGCCATGTACTGAAAAGTCAGGAAATGCCAGAATTAGTGTTGCCCATTTATCATCGTCGTCATCTGTTTGGTCCAAAATCTCTCAGGAATATCTATTATGGGACCAGCTCCCCTTGGTGAGAGAGAGAAATTTTTTAGCTTGCCAAAAACAAAAGAAAGTTGAAAAGATTCTGAGTTTTTCTTTTGAACGTATGATCTGACGTTAGCTGTTTGAGCTAGGAGAGAGAGTGAAGCTTTGTGACACGACTGCATTCAGCAAGGGACTCAGACAGGCTGTGGGACTGGATCTGTGGAAACTGTAATTCTCTCAATGGAACACACAGCAAAATCCTCCAAAAATTGCCTGTACATCAACAGGAAAAAATTACATGTGCTAAAAAAACCCAGCAAGTCCCACGAAGTAAAGGTCTGCAATTTTTGCTGTATTTTTCAATATTCTGCAATTTCTATGCTTTCGTTTGGAAACAAAATGAAGTTTCTGCTTTCCATGGTGAAGGCGTAGCTATCTCCGATGTGCTGGTCAGGCACAGAGAGACTTAACACAGCATTACTGTTGTTTATTCCATTTCATGTAATTTGGTCTTTCAGTGAAGAGAGGGCCCCTCGTGCTGGATGGCAGTAACATTTAAATCACCAAATCCAACATGAAAACAAGTCCTGACTAACCAGGAAAAAAACAGCATAGATTTCTTTCGCACAGTGGCGTGCTGGCTATGTATGCACCACATGCATTGTATGCCTCAGGACCGGCTGTGCCCATGTGATGATTCCATTCAGCCCCCAAATGCACACAGAAGATGCCATTTTGGAGAATGAAAAGGAATCCTCTGCAGAGCTTGACCTCACAAGCCCCATATGTGCATGTAAGTGTAGAATTGCAGGCCTTACTAAAATGTCACAGCACACCACTGCTTTCCCAGAAATACACACTCCTACTCATATTTACAGTATCTGGAGAGCTTGACATTTTAAGGACCTCTTAAGCAGATATGATACAAAAGGCCCTGACTGTTCATACACTTCTGAAGCACGTCAGTAGGAAGTATAGCGTGCCAGATTAGACAGTTTGATTGTATTTCACCTTTTAAAAGTTGCCCATTCTAAGATCTTTCCTGTCCAGTCAAGCACCTGGCATGGCATTCAAATAATGGGAGAGCATGTGAATGTTATGGCTCAACATCTGTAAGAATAGATCCTGTTTAGCTGTAAATGGAAAGGTGGTTTCCCACTCTTTCAGAAACACCTGTACAAGCTTTTAGATTCAGGCCTGGGAGTTCCCAGACATCTGCTGCATCCTGGCCTCCACCCAATGTCTGCTGAAACCCGGTGGGCCAAAAAGCTAGTAGGATGACAGCCTCAGCCAAGGCACCACCCAGGGGAGCCCTGATTGGAGGATCGCCTAGGCTCCACCGATTGGTCCAGGCCCGGTCATTTAAGCCAGAAGGAGGCATGGGAAGTTGTCTGAGCAGCACGGTTGTTTCCTGTGGTGGCTGCATTGGACTCTACTTGTGCCGTCTCCTGCACCCACCCCGTTCCTAATTCCTGCTCTGCTCCTGCCTCACCCCTGCTTTCGCTCCTGTTCCCACTGTGCTCCTGCTCTGGCCTTGATCCTTCCTCTCCTCCAGTTCCTGCCCTTACACCTCACCTCCACTCATAAGTTACCAGTCCTGTTCCCAACCCTGGCCTCTGACTCTGGCTTGATCCCAGGCTCTGGTAATTGGCAATTGACTCTGATGCTGACCCTCAGCTTTGTTCCCCAACCTAGATGCCTGCTTTGACCACTAGACCTAAGTCCTGCTCTGATTACTAGGCCAGACTGCCAACATCCCAGTCCACAACAGTGTGACCCCGGGCAAGTCACTTTGCCTCTCTGTGCCTCAGTTTCTCCTCTGTACAACGGAGATAACAGCAGTTTCCTCCCTCGCTGTGAAGGGGTGCTGTGAAGATAAATATGTTAAGGATTGTGAGATGGTCAGGTAATGGTTGTTTTAGGAGTATTGAAGAGAGAGGTTTTAGATCACGCCTGTTGCAGATTGGCACACAATCACATTTCATTAACAAGGAAGCAAGAACATGTCCATTTTTAGCAACTGAATATTAGCATAAGAACATCTTCAAAACTAGGCTGTTTAAAATGAATAAGGATGTAAATGGACTGAGATGAGTTATGTGTCTGTATAGCTGTACTATAGCTCTGTCTCACAGGAGCAAACCGAGACCGAACACCTGCAGTTCCCATTGACTTCAGCTGGAGCTGTGCGTGCTTCGCACCTGTGAAAACCAGGGCCACACTGACTGAAAACGTGCTATGACATCATAGCCTTCTACTCCGGAAGACTAGAACCACAAGTAGAACTGAAGCGGTCAGGTTCTCAGCTCCAGTCCTGATGGCCCTTTGCCACGATTGGAGCTTGGTTGTCATCCTTTCTTGCATTAATTTGCTTTTTCCTACAAAAGACAAAGTGTTTGACGTTTCAGACATTGCTGCAAGGCATTTCCTTTTTGAGGGTGATCCTCCAATATGGCTGATGTCGTTGCCGCTTTCATTGTCTCAGAAATGTGTCCCCTAGTGGCAATAAAGATGTTAAACTGAAAACTAGACTTGTGTACCCGTACATGAGTATAAGCATTTACCACAGTTGTTACCCTTGCCTATTAAATATAGATAATAACTCAAGAGAGACTAGACTAGACAGACATATCAATCTTTGAGAAGGCAAACGGACATCTCAAATTACAATTCAGCTGCACAGGTGGGAAGTCTAGCCAAAGTGGCCCTTTTTGAGTGGCTCCCCAACACTGGAGATGAACTAAAGGGGAGAGTTGCTGTAGGTACCCTACTCCTACCCAGCCATATGGAGCTAATACTCCACTAGTTCCTTGAGGAGCAGCCCTGGTTGGCCTCATGTCTCCCTGGGAGGCACAGAACATCCAGCCAAAGAGGTAGTAGCTG